ATGTTGAATGAGAAATACAGAGAGAATTATTCATTATATTTTATCATGGTATCAAGAGCTTAGGTTTGATCCAACAATAATTTACTAGAGATTGCAATTATACGTAATATTCATTATTACGCATAACCTTAAGAGATTGTGAGAGTTCACAAACATCATTTAATTTTTTTTTTCTTCTCAAAGCACCTGTGAGTGACTATTATTTGTGATTCCATTGATGGATGGTGATCAGAATTTGGTGAAGGCTGCACACGTTGATGTGGGTGGTCTTGCGGGAGTGACTTCGATTCAAGTTCAACAATTGTTGGACTACTTGACATCCATTAAATCCAAGTTTCATGATAAAAATGATTTGGGTTGGATAATAGATACAGGGGCCTCGAATCATGTGACATGTGATTTGTCTCTTTTGACCAATGTGACCAATGTGAGCCATTGTCCGGTGGGATTGCCGGATGGAAAAAATGCTAACGCATCAAAAATTGGATCGGTGATATTGCAAGGGGGTTTAAAAATCGACAATGTTCTTTATGTACCCCAATTAAATTGCAATTTAATTTCGGTGACTCAATTGAGTGACGAATCTAATTGTATTATGCAATTTACTAACAAACTTTGTGTTATACAGGACCTCACAACGAGGAACGTGATTGGAGCAGGTGAACGAGTAGATGGACTTTATTATTTTCAGGGTGTTCCTATGGTGAAGGCAATGAAGATAGACGAGGATCATTCCACAGAGTTGTGGCATAAACGATTGGGGCATCCTTCGGGTAAAGTACTTCAACAGCTTCCATTTGTGAATCGTAGTAGTACTAAATTTAAATCATGTGATGTGTGTCCTCTACCAAAACAACATAGGAGTAGTTTCCCTTTGAGTCAAAATAAAGCAAGTCGAATTTTTGAGCTTGTTCACTTAGATTTATGGGGGCCTTACAAGACTCCATCTTCTTGTGGTGCTCATTATTTTTTGACTATAGTAAATGATTACTCTAGGGGTGTGTGGACTTATTTGTTAAGAAATAAAACGGAAGTTGAGTATATGTTTCTTAATTTTGTTGCGATTGTTCGACGTCAATTTTCTCAAGAAATTAAAGTGGTCCGTAGTGATAATGGTACGGAATTCAATTCCTTGAAAGAGTATTTTTTTGACAATGGGATTTATTTTGAGACCTCATGTGTGGGCACGCCTCAACAAAATGGGCGTGTTGAGAGAAAACATCAACATATTTTGAATGTTGCTAGAGCCTTATGTTTTCAAGCAAATTTACCTTTAAAATTTTGGGGGGAGTGTGTGCAAGCAGCATGTCATTTAATTAATAGAACTCCTTCTCGATTGCTTGATTATAAAACCCCTTGTGATGTGTTATTTGGCAAACCACCTTCATATGAGTATATTCGGGTGTTTGGTGTTTGTGTTATGCGCACAATCTAAAAACTAAGGGTGATAAGTTTGCGAGTCGAAGCCGAAAGTGTGTATTTATAGGATATCCTTTCGGGAAAAAGGGGTGGAAGGTTTATGACTTAGAGACCCAGGAAATTTTTGTTTCAAGGGATGTGATGTTTAATGAGAGTGAATTCCCGTTCATTGCTTCTAGTATGAACAAAGATTTGATGAATGCCTCGTTGACTCGTGATGTTGGGAATTGTGATGTTGGGAGTGTGAGTGATGATGAGTGGTGTGTGGCAGAGAATGTGAATGGTGAGGGCAATGATATGGAGCACGAGGGAGGTGTGAGAGCTGATGGTGTTGCGGGGACAGCAGGGGGAACCACGGCTGGGCTGCGGCAGGAGCCCACAGGCCGCGACCAGGCTGCGGAGGAGCCTGCCAGCCCCTCTTCCGTGTGCTCTGGTACGGCAGATGAGTGCAGCAGCACAGAAGAGCATGCTGGGCAGCAGAACGGTAGTGACCAAACTGCTCTAAGTGAGCAGAATGTTGTGCAGCAGGGTGATCAAAGTAACATCTCAAGTGAGACCGAAGCCTTGGGTAAAGGCATGAGACAGCAATTTCCGAATGTGAAGCACCGTGACTTTATGACACACACAATAAGAAATAAAAGTCCATCTACATCATCTCAGCGTTCACCTGCGACATTACTTTCCCCAGGTATTGTTTACCCTATAACACATTTTATTGATTCTCACCGGTTTTCTATGAAGCATAGAACATATATTGCTGCTATTACAGGTGGAAATGAACCCAAAAGTTTCAGGGAGGCCATGAAACACGAGGGTTGGAGGAAAGCAATGGCGGATGAGATCCAGGCTCTAGAAGAGCAAGGCACTTGGGTGCTAGAGAAACTTCCACCGGGCAAAAAGGCACTTGGAAGCAAATGGGTTTACAAAGAAAAATATGATGAGCATGGGAATTTGCAGAGATTAAAAGAAAGATTAGTCATCTTCGGTAATCATCAGGTTGAAGGGTTAGACTACAATGAGACATTTGCTCCGGTTGCGAAGATGGTGACTGTTCGAACTTTTCTTGCAGTAGCGGCGGTGAAAAATTGGGAAGTTCATCAAATGGACGTTCATAACGCTTTTCTTCATGGTGATTTGGAAGAAGAGGTATATATGAAAATCCCTCCTGGTTTTGAGAAAGACAATTCTGACAAAGTTTGCAGGATGCTGAAATCATTGTGCGGGCTTAAACAAGCTCCTCGATGCTGGTTTGCAAAGCTCGCTACAGCTTTGAAAAATTATGGCTCTAAACAGTCATACTATGATTATTCTTTATTTACTCTGACAAAAGGTAAAATGCAGCTTAATGTGTTAGTATATGTTGATGATTTAATTGTTGCAGGCAATGATAAAAATGCTATGCTCAATTTTAAATCGTATCTGGGAGATTGTTTCAAGATGAAAGATCTTGGAGTGTTGAAATATTTTCTGGGGCTAGAGGTAGCCCGGAATAAACAGGGAATTTTTATTTGTCAGAGGAAGTATGCACTGGATATTATTACTGAAGCTGGTTTGCTTGATGCTAAACCTGCAGAGTTCCCAATGGAACAAAATCACAAGTTAGCTTTATCTCAGGGAGAGTATTTTCATGATATTTAGAAATATCGTCGCCTCATAGGTCGTCTGATTTATTTGTCTGTTACGAGACCCGATTTAGCATATTCTGTACACATTTTATCACAGTTTATGCAAAAACCCAGGATTGACCATTGGGAAGCAGCTCTGCGAGTTGTTAGATATTTGAAGAAGAGTCTGGGACAGGGCATTTTATTGAGATCTGATAGTGATTTACAGTTGGAAGGTTGGTGTGATTTAGATTGGGCAGGTTGTCCTCTCTCTAGACGGTCCTTGAGTGGTTGGTTTGTGCTTCTTGGTTTGTCTCCAGTATCATGGAAAACCAAGAAGCAGCCTACTGTGGCCCTTTCTTCATCGGAAGCCGAATATCGTTGTATGAATGCAACGACTTGTGAATTAAAGTGGTTGAAGCGATTACTTGGTGATTTAGGTGTTCGACATGAGAATGGGATGCATCTTTATTGTGATAGTCAGTCTGCGTTATATATTGCGCAGAATCCAGTGTTTCATGAACGATCAAAGCATATTGAGTCAGATTGTCACTTTGTTCGTGATTCGATTACAGATGGGACGATAATACCCTCGTATGTTCCTACGATGGTTCAGTTGGCCGACATTTTTACAAAAGCTTTGGGAAAAGCTAAATTCCAGTTTTTATTGCGCAAGTTGGGCGTCCGGGATCCGTACTCTCCAACTTGAGGGGGGGTATTAGGAAAGATAATATTGTGAATATTTGGGATATATATCTTAGAATATATTGTGCATATCTTTTAGGTTATTTGGTCTTGCCCTCCAAGTTTCCTATTCTATATATACTTGTATGTGGCCTTTATGTTGAATGAGAAATACAAAGAGAATTATTCATTATATTTTAGCAGAAAAAGTTCAACCCAAGTAGCATATTGTGCATCTTCTTGATCGGAAGAGACACTCATGGGATTTTTGATGTTTGAAACGACAAAAGACGAGTGGAAAGTTTTTTGTAAAGGAGGAAAGGGGAGGAGGAGGAACGTCATCACTGGCCATGGAGATGGAAGAAGAAGGCTGGATGATGATGGTGGACGTACGACTGGTTCAAGGTTGTCCAAGGATCGTTTTAGGATTTGGGAAAAAGAAAAAAAAAACCCTAATACGACTCTAATGACATGTACTACAGTGTAATTCTCCTTGATGGACGCTTCTCATTCATTCAATATATATAGGTATTACAAACTTAATTGTGAAAGTCCTAAATTACACAAAAATATATCTTTATAGGTATTAACAAGATAATATAAACGTATTATCTATCACTAAGGACATATAAATGATTAACACTTAATAAATTTTCTCAAGCAAAACTATACATATCTTTAATGGGTGTTGTATGAACAACACCCATTATTACAACAATTTAGGGTTGGAGGAGTAATGCATTTAGCTCCTCCATCAAATTTAAAAAATAAAAATAAATAATGCAAGTATACAACCCAAATAATTTTGGTGTAAACCTTTTATTCAGCACACTAATACAAATTAAAACAATTTAACATTATTAATTATGTTATAGCTCAACCTTAAATAATAAATAAAACAAATGCATATATAATTAAGGATTTTTTTTTGTAAAGAATTACCTTTTATAATCCATTTTTTGCGAGAAACTACCTCAAAAACGAAATGTTGTAATTAACTACCTAATAAAATACAAAATGTTGTAATTAACTACCCTCCACCGGAAAGTCAAGTTTGACTTTATTTTACCGGCGTTGACCTAGACACGTGACGGTCACGTGACCTTTAAAAAAAAAAAAAAAAAAAAACCCCTTTTTTCCCTTATTCTCCTCCCAGTTCACGAATTCCCCTCATTTCATCCCCAAATCCCTAATTTCAATTCGAATCTCCCTTCTTCTTATCAATTTCCTCCTCAAATTGGGTAAAAAAACACGAAAATAATAGGATAAGCAATTCAAAAGGGTATTCCAGCGTACACCATCAAAATCACACAAGTAGAACGATTTCTGGTTTAATTACCCAATTTGAGGAGGAAATTGATAAGAAGAAGGGAGATTCGAATTGAAATTAGGGATTTGGGGATGAAATGAGGGGAATTCGTGAACTGGGAGGAGAATAAGGGAAAAAAGGGGTTTTATTTTTTTTAAAGGTCACGTGACCCTCACGTGTCCAGTTCAACGCCGGTAAAATAAAGTCAAACTTGACTTTTCGGTGGAGGGTAGTCAATTACAACATTTTGTATTTTATTAGGTAGTTAATTACAACATTTCGTTTTTGAGGTAGTTTCTCGCAAAAAATGGATTATAAAAGGTAGTTCTTTACAAAAAATCCTATAATTAATTAGTATAACAGCTTAATCCCAATTAATTAAGTGGAGCACTTTGAAGCACAATGGTTTCAACAGTAAGGCCAGGACCAAAACCAAACAACACACCCCATTCCAACCCTTCTCCGGTTGTCGATTTGCCCTCCATCGACGATTGTTTCCTCATCTCTTCCAATATGAACATCACACTCGCACCCCACATGTTCCCATACTCGCTTAAGACATGCCTAGTAGTATTCAGTTTGCTCGGCTCAAGTTCGAGTTCAGTTTCAATCTGGTCCAATATAGCTCGACCTCCAGGGTGAGGGATCCAAAACAAGGAGTTCCAGTCTTTGACCCCAATTCTCTCAAAAGATTCAATCAACAAATTTTCGATATTTTTGGATATAAGTTTAGGTACGTCAGGACTAATGTCCCCGACCATACCCTCTTCCCTCAGACGGGCTTGTATAGTCCCGTCTGTACCGGGAATTGTGGTCTGGTCGGCTGACACGAGCCGAAAAATAGGTTTTTCTAGAGGCTCATCAGGATCAGCACCTACGATCAATGCCGCAGCACCATCTGCGAATAAGGTGTGCGGTAAAAGATTAGTGTCATCGGGAGCATGGTAAAATATAACAGTACTCAACTCCGCGCATACAACCAAAACACGAGCTCCGCGTTCGTTTTCAGCCATGGACTTGGCTATACGAAGGAGCATTCCGCCAGAGTGGCAGCCACCCTGGCGGAGGACAAAGCGCTTGACAGAAGGCGAAAGGCCGAGAAGCATGGCGAGGTATTGGTCAGCAGCGGGGGTGTCGCAGAAAGTGTTGGTGCCGAAGATAAGGTGAGTGATGTTAGACGTGGGTTGGCCCCACTCAGCGATGGCCTTATCGGCTGCTTCTTTGCTGAGTTTGGGGACTTCACTGGCGAGGATTGCTTGGCGGGCTGATAAGGAAGAAGCCTTGCGATCGCACATTTTAGGGTGTTCTTTCAAGGTCTCTTCGGTTACGTGCATGTAACGTTTCTTAATCATTGACTTATCGCCTGCAAATAAACACGAGATATTAGGAAGACTATTTAATGGCTACAACAAAATTATAGCTATTGTAATTAGTTTTAATCTTAGCCCTATGTTTTTAATAATCAATCTTGTCTATTCATCCGTATGACTTTTGAGTTTTTATAAGATATTTTTTTTTTTGAAAAAAAAAATAGTTATCTTCATTACGATTAAAAATATTAAATTGAACTTTTCCAATGACGCAAATACTTGCAAATTATAAGTTCAAAGGATTCTCCCATCTCCATTAAAAAACTAACATTTTTATTGTAATTTATTAACAATAAACCTATAATCCTAGTACTTTACCTTATTACGGAGTATATATTGCAAGGTCCAAAATTTTTGCATCAAATTTATCAAAGAGTGATTCATTCTCCATTTAGGAAAACCAGAGAAAGGAAAGAAAAAAATTAAAGATGAAGGTAAAATATCGTGAGGTTTGTCTCTAATTTTCAAGAAGTAGTTTCATCCTTCGACCAAATTTTTTAATATTAAAAAGCTGGTTTTTTAAAAAAAAAAATAATTTGTTGATAAATTTTTTTTGTTTTTTTTTTATCTCTTTTTTTGGTTATATATATATATATATATATATATATATATATATATATATATTGGTTGATAAGGTGTATTTTAAAGTCAATTAAATGGATGGATATGATAAATTTTATTAAATAGACGATTGAGATTCACTCAATCACAATGGCCACAATTTTATTGTTGCCATTTAAAAATTGTCACGAAATATTAATCATGTTCAAATTACAATAAGCAAAAGGTTTAATTAATTTAGAAGTGGTTGACTTTCTGTGTGATAAGACTATTGGAAGTATAAGATATAGCTAAGCATGCATGCTGTTTCCTAATCATTTATTAACTACATGCAATTATATAGAAGTCAATGTCTTATTCAAAGGAAACATATTAGTCGTGGTTGTAATTGAATAACTTTCTAATAAAACCAAAGGGTTATCTAATCAACTTTGTCCTAAATAATACAAACATAAAATTCAAGCTTGTCATATCATAGTACAATTCCCAAATCTGAGAATTGAACCAAAACCAAAACATGTCAATGGTTTCCAAAATTGTGGGAATTGGGTACATGGTCAACAAATCATTTAACATATTATTATAATACAGTGCATAAATTCAGTTTTAGGCCATGTTTTATTCAACTTAAAATAATAATATATAATCAAAATTAATTTTAGTACAGTAAAAAAAAATTAAATTTTGTAAAAAAATATATATTATTTGTAAATTTAAAGAAAATATATAATCGAAAATCAATAAAAAGTACTTCCTCCGTCCCTAAATTACAGTCCTCTTTCTCTCTATTATGTGAGGAATAAATGGTAGAAAAAGGAATGTAATTTAGAGACGGAGGGAGTAATAAGTTTTAATCTGTAAAAGTTATTTCATTTTAGCAAAAATCATTGTAGTTCAAAAAATTTAATTTCAGTTCAACATTTTTTTTGAGGAAACAGTTCAACATAAATAAGGTGAAAAGAGATGTGTACTATAATTTTGAAAATTTATCGTATCTAGATAAAGAATATAGTATTTTTTTCTTACTTCTAATGTAAAAGGAAAATGTTGTACATACCCCTTAGGATTACATATAAGAAATAAAAAATGGGAAAAATAAAGGAAAATATAACATTAACTACACTAATTTGTCCTTGATTTTGACATACATGCCTAATTTAATTTATCAAATAAAGAAATTTATTAAATGTTTATATATAACCCGAAGAGTTATATATAACATTACCCAACATAAAATACGAAGTGAGATATTACAACTAAGTTATGTACTATTTATTTATCTAATTTTCCTGCAATTACTTCAATTTCCCAATTAATTTTCCATAAACGCATAGGTTTTATGTAGGAGAAAAAAGAGGACACACTTATTAGCTTAGCCAGCTAGAAAAAAGACGACTTCGATATCTAAGGATCATGTACAGTGCAAGTGTGCAACTAGATAACTAATGTAGGCAAATATTCTAATTCTTCCCCTTCACCCTTGCTTCTAAGGGACCCAACCTACTTAAAAAAAGGTTTTTAAAATCGTATAAAATCAATTAAGTTCAATTAGATCATTCACGTTTTTTACAAATATATATATATATATATATATATATATATATATATATATATATATATATATATATATATATATATATATATATATATAAAAACAAGCAACAAGAGTAAAAATGAAATAGAAGCAAAGGGCATACACATGCGCTGATACTTGCTCTTGAGATGGGTTAAATGATCGCTATTGGTAATACGAAAGTAGTACTCAGGATAGTCTGCCTGAATAAACTCATTTGGTGGATTGGCTGTGCCCATGGCCAGGATAGTGGCAGGACCATTTGCTTTTGGAGGCATTGGAATCTCATAAATTGAACCCATTTTCCTAGGTTATATTTAAGCAAATTAAGCTAGGATTTATAACCAAATGAGCTAAAAATTCTTAGATTATATTGATGCTAGGAGTTGTGGATTTATGGCAAGGCAATCAAGCCTTTATATAGCAGTAATTTATTGAATGATATCTATATATAAAAAATAATTTTATTGTCATAAATTGTCACTAACATGCATCAATACAAGTCACCTCAATTTATTTTACGTACGTAATTTTGGGTTGGTAGCTATTTGACTAAACTATAAATTACTTAGTTGATTCATTCGACCAATCCCTACATTTTTCCACTATAATTTTTGGTTCTCATAGACTTTTACACTAGAATTAGGCATTTGGATATTTCTTTGTATGATTTGTTATCTTAATTTTTAAATCCCAAGTCTAATTTTAAGGAGATTTGTATGTAAGACTTGTCAAATTCACGTTTATTAATTATTATTGTAAGCTTGCAAGGTTTTTTTTTTTTTTTTGTGTGTGTGTGTGTGTGAGAGAGAGAGAGAGAGAGAGAGAGATTGTGACTTGGTAGCCTTGGACTCAATTTTAAAAAGATTTTAGATTTTGGGAGCAATGTACTTACGTATTTATTAAAACATTTTGAAAGTGAATCTCTTAATAACATAAGCTAAAAGAAAAAATTCACCAATAACTACACAAAATATTTGTGAAATTTGAATTTAAATTTATTTTAAAGTGATTTTAATTTGACTTGGTTTCCTTTCGCTAAAGATTTAAGATCTTGCAAAGCAAGGTCAAACAATTTATAAACTAACACTTATGAATATTAGAGATACACATAACTTATTTTGCAAACTTGTACTACAAAAATTAATTTACATTATCATCGAAAAAAATATTTAATAACCGATCTTTTTTTCCAAATTTAACCCTATAAAATTTTAATTATTATATAATTATTTAATATAAATATATAATCATATTAAAATACGCCATTTTTTATTTATATTATTACTTCCAATAACATGATCTTATACAAAGAATATACATAAATGATAGTCATTATTAAATTGTACTAATCTCTACATTTTCTTTTGTGCTTCCTGTATTCTCCATTAGAAATTTTCAAAAAAATTCTTTAAATTGAATATTCTTCCAAAAAATTGAATAATTTTCTGAACAAATTCCTTATTTTTGTTAGGGTAATGCTACATGTAGAGCCTTTAATGCTAAGAACAGACATTTAATATATTTCCTAATTTGTTATTTATTTAGGAATGATGACAAAATCACATGCAAATCAGTGTAATAAATGTTATGTTTTTTTTTCCACTTTCAACTCCTTATATGTAGCTCTAAGGGCTATATGCAAATCAGTGTAATAAATGTTATGTTTTTTTTTCCACTTTCAGCTCCTTATATGTAGCTCTAAGGGCTATGTTTAGCAAATTCTTTTTTAAAAATTTTAATTGTTTATGTAGTAAATGCACAACTATTTATGTTTTCTATTATTTCAAAGTGTATAAAATTCACAACTAATTATATTTGTAGCGAACCTAAAATTGTTTTAAATGAAGGAACAATTATAGTATTTATTTTGTTCTCAATATTTTAAGTTGGATCCTGCTAACAAACGCCCCCGGGGCGTTGTATAAGCATTTAAAATACTACCAAAAGTGGTATAAATTTGGGAAAGCATGACAAAATCACGCATCGATCGGTAAAATTAATGTTCATTTTAAGTTAATCTTTCTATTTTTAGCTAGCTTATCCAACATCCCGTGGCGTTTGTTAGCATTTTCCTTATAAGTTGAATATCTTTTTCTTTATTTATTTGTAACAATCAATTAAACTAAGGAAATTTTGGAAATAACCACCTACTATTGTTGTCTTTTTAGTAATTACCACCTACAATTCTTTTTTTGTATTTTACCACCTACTATTTTTAAAAACACGAAAATTTCCCACCAGATTTTCCAAGGGCTCATACATGACGTCATCATGCCTTCTTCTTCCTCGATTCTTATGTTTAGTGATTTTTTCAATATAAATTAAAATTAGATTAGGGAAAAGCATTTAAAAGTCGATTTAACATAATTCTAGCTCACATGAACATAATTAAGTCACTAATATGTATCAATTATAATTTGTTGTTTTTCATATAGGGTTTATCCCAAATTTGGGGTTCAAACTAGATAATTTTTCAAATTAAGCATTATTTACATTAATTAACTCTATATAGAACTAATATATATGCTCCATTTTGGATTGTAAATCATAATTTAGAAAAATGTTTGATTTTAAAATATCTCTAAAATACATATGGACCCTAATTTTTCATATCAATATATAATTAGTAATAATTTCTTAACAATAAAATCAGTTTCGGTACTAACTGAAGACATAATACGTTAAATCGATGCAAAATAGTCCCAATTTTATAAATTAAGCACTAAATAACAAACTCAAAATTTCATTTCAAAACCCTAAATAATGAACACCATCTTATAGTTAGCCCCAATTTTGTAAATTAGGTACCTAATTTAGTGCTTTGTTTGCATAAGTTAGATTTGCAATTCAATAAATAGAGAACAAGGTTAGAAAAAAATAATGAAATTGAAAAAAAATTCGTCGTTAGGACCTATAATGACTCTACTTTCTAGTGAAGACTCATAACATCTTAAATTTGACACTGTCTAGCTATACATTAGCTTTTAATATGCTGGAGTAAAGAGAGGTAAGGTAGCTAACCGTTGCATTCTCACCCAATTGAACGGAGCTCGCTTGATCAGGCGCGAGTACAAGCGCACTTCAAAGTTTATTTTTGTCGTTTTTGTCTGGTGAAGCGGAAATCTACCCGATCTACATGTAAGTTGAGATTACGTATCACTCTCGCTCAATCGGGTGAAGGGCATGGATGCGCGTCAGCAAACCAGACTCTTTCTCTTCCTCTTAACACCCACAATTAATGGGATGTTTAAGAGGATGTTAACCTCCCCTTTATTTCTGATTAAGTAATTAATCTTTGTATTTTAAAAGTTACGTATTAACAAATGTGTCCATCAAATTATTCGCACAAATAAAGTTTTTTTTTTTGTTGTGCGAGTGAACCACGAGAGTAATCACATTATAAACGCGGATGGAGGGAGTTTATAAACATACTTCCTCAATTTTTGAAATATGTGAATAATTTTCACTTTTTACACAATTCATTTTTTTCACTTTGATTAATATTTATGATTTATAGATAAGAATAAATATAGCCTTGTGCATATTTGTTAGAATCCTCTCAATGAATGGCTTATTTGTTTCAATTGTTATACTTATTGGTAATTAAAGATATAGGGTGTGTTTGGTAAAAAGCTTTTTAAAGAGCTTTTAGCTTATTTTGTCCAATTAGATGTTTGACCAATTAAAAAAGCTAATTTGGGTGTTTGATATATAGCTTATTAAAAGAGCTTTTTTAAATTAGCTTATTGTACAATTAGCTTTTTGTTTTTTAAATACACTAAAACAGCTAACAATTAACAGCTATTTACCAAACATTTTTATACAATCAGCTAATCATAACCAGCTAGTCAATCCAGCTACTATAACCAGGTAGACAAACCAGCTATTATAACCAGCTAATACAATCAGTTACCAGCTAATTACCAAACAGGGCCATAATCAGTCAAATTTTGCATTGACATACGTACACAATGCAAGAGAAATTAAACGTTTTACTTGTTTAAATACGGAGGGAGTATGATCTACCGTTAGGGGTGCTCATAGCCGGGTACTCGGGATTTCGGGTACCCGGAAGTGCGGGTACCCGGGAGTGCGGGTAGTTATTAAGGCGGCCCATTACCCGACCCGTTAAAATTAAAGCGGGTACCCACTTATCGGGTACCCGTTTTTACCGGGTACCCTCCTCGGGTACCCGGAATTTTAATATATATGTTTGTTTTTAAAAAAATAACCTGTTGTGACTTTAAAACATGCTGATTATTAACAAAAAAAAAAAAAAATCATTAAAAGCAAACACAAACTATATATCCCAGTAAATTGAATATAGTATAAACATTAACATAATTAAACCAAAATCAAAATTAAAACTTAATTAGGGTTCATGTAATCGAAAAAAAGGAACCGCCGACATTGGAAAAATAACTCCAAAATTTACAATCAAAGATTCAGAAAAACTAATCGGTCTACCCAAACCTTCGCCAACAGAAGAAGGATCAACGAAAGTGACAAACCCAAAACCTCGAGGTGTATTAGTGAGACGATCTATCTTTAACAACAACAATGGAAGAAACTTCACCATATTTGACTGAGGTTCTTCTAAGAAGGACTGACGGATCGGCCTGAGAGGGACTAACGGAAATCGCTTGAGAGGGAGGACTGTATTGACGGAAGTCGCCTGAGAGGGAGGAAGGAGGTCGCCTGAGAGAGGAAGGAGGTCGCCTGAGAGGGAGTGTTTGAGAGTGAAAGAGGAGAGAGAAGAGATCTAGAGAGGTGAGTGTGAAAGTGGAGATGCGGCTAGCTACTCTTTCTGAGTAAGTAACCCTAATTCCCTAAAGGAGTAAAGGGAATTCCAGCCAATAAGAAAAAAAAAATCGGGTATTTAACGGGTACCCGAGACAGTCAGAGGTCGGCCCATTACCCGACCCGCAAATCTGATATTTTAGCGGGTCGGGTACCCGACCCGTAAAATTGGGAAAAAATTGAAAATTACCCGCCGGGTACTTTGCGGATCAGCGGGTCGGGTCAAACGGGTCGGGTATTTTTGAACACCCCTACCTACCGTAGTCAAGTTTTGATAATTCTTAATGAACCCCTTAATTAACCATTGCGCTAATATACCTCATTTGTAGGAAGAGATCAATGGAGTGTATGATTTGTTCATAATAACCCAACATAACCTTCTAATGATAGAAATCTTCAAACTCGATGACCCAACTTTCATAATCTCAACTCAAGTTGCTGAGGCTCACTCTCTTGCTAGTGCAGCTAGGCGTAGAATTTTACTTCATTTCACTTTTTA